GAACCTCGTTAAACTCGTGCAAAAGTCTAATATGCCCCTTCACAGTTTTCTCCGCATCTTTTTCCCTTCAGGCACCCCACAAAATCAGCCCAGCCCAGCCAGCAACAAAACTGTTGGTTTTTCCCTTTCTTTTCCTTTCCGTTGTTTTCTTTTTCAATGCACTCATCCTCCGATACACACTGCACAGCACTGCACAGCACTGCACAGCACTGTACTTACTTGAGTCTCGCCAACACCTCTGCATGTTCGCCCTCTATTTGCTCGATTTGTGATTCTAGCGAGATTATGCTTTTTCGTAGGGATGCCTGCACTTGGATCGTTAGGCGGCAGCGGGAAGACGGGTATTCGGATGGAGGGGAGGTAGCTAGGGCAATACGATTTTGCGTTCCTGAGGGGTGGACGTCTGCGGGGGTGGGTTTTCCGAGTCGGACATTCTTGTTCTGTTGTAGGCGGACGAGAAGAGGGGGGGCTGTCTGCGATTAGTATTTGGAAAAAGGTGGTATCATACGGTGCAGTAGCGATGGTCAGGTCGTGGAGGTGGAGGCGGATGGGGAGGGTAGCGGGGAAGCGAGGGGGGGGGTTCGTGCTTTGGCGATGGTTGCCGTAGCGGTGGTTGTGGCCTGGACCGGATACCGTAGAGGATGTCAGCCAGATGCGTGCGGGGGGGGCCAGGCCAACCAACAAACCTACAATAGCCAAGCGCACGTTTCTCGCGCCTTGATCATCCTTAAGCGAGCTGCTCGCTGTTCGAGTAACTTACCCACGCGAATGATCAGCTGTAGTGCCGCAAGGGGATTCGGATTGTTTACTAGCCAGTCGTGCTCCGTTCCACTACAGCGAGCTTTCCTCACTCGCCTGCCGCCGCAAGTGCTTGCTCGTATCGTACTGTACTGTGCAGGATAGTAATGGGGTGGCGTTTATAAACCCAATTGCTATTGCACACCGGTACCACCCAGATCCGAGCAGAAAGGCCAGAATTGTGCGGTAGTCTATGCAACAGCGGTCCTGTTCACAAACGTCGACCCACCGGGCACGAGCACTGGAGTGCCGGAAGGGACAATATGCCCTTCGTGACGATGACCCACCCCGCCACTCGTATCAGCCCGAACCTCCCCCATGCCAACGCCAACGCCAACGCAAACGCCAGTGCTGATGCTCAATGCCCTGGCAGCGAAGGTTTGCGCAAGACCGAATCGGAGTTCCCGGGATATCGCAGTCCAGCTAATTATAACCAGTATAATCTCTGCCGGGCCGATCGGCTCGTAACCTACGGTACTTTCAAGATGGTATGGTTTAAAGATCACCCCCTTACTAGAACCTCATAACTACGGTAGTACCGTACACAAGGCCCACTAGACCCGTGCATTCCAGGTCAAGGGGTCAGGATGGAGGCAAAGACGGAAAATAAATTCGGCATCGACGAGGCATGACGAGACAGAGCGGGACAAAACGGTACGGGTGAACCCCTACGCTGGGAGAAGAATGGGAAGGAGGAATAAATAAAGGGGAAGAAGAATACGCAACCCCTGTCACGGTGGTACAGTACTGTACGGTACTCGAGTACGAGTATGATATTGTAGCTGCCTTGCAATACTGTAGAATAAACCGGTAGTAGCTTTGTAATAAAACAATTCGCTGTGGAACCGAAATATGAAAGTGCTTATCAAACTGCCGGTATTGCCAATTAGACTACACTGAGCACTACCGTATCGCTGTAGGTAATTATACGCAAGTCCTCCTTCGCCTCCGCCTGTGTAGGGGGGACACACACATGGCTCTCGCCTACGATCGCCACCATCGAGCATCCATTCGGCGACGAGGCCCCCAAAAGCAGTGGACTGGCCGAGGCTCTGAAGGACCGCTTACCCCGACCAAGTAGCCCCACCTGCCACTAGCGGGCGGAAACAAGTCCTCTCGGAACTGTGCAAAACCGGTCCTCGGGCTTTTATTATACCCTCCCCCTGGTGCGATATACTGTACAGTGTACGAGTACTATTTCCAACATCTCCTTCTTTCCCTCCCTCCCTGTCTCCGTCTCTCCCCTGCCATGATTTTATGATAATAAATCATCAACTAGCATACCGGTAACTGGTTCGTTCTCGTTTAGTCCACTATAGCCTTGGGCGAGGGTCGAGTGGGGAATGATTTTCCATGTTGGGAACCTCGCGCTCTGATGATCGCGGTGCGGATCGTGTACAAGTACTGTAGTCCGGTCTACGTCATGCGGTACGAAGCGAAAAGAAGCTTTTGTTTCAATGGATTCGAACCTTTCTCGATTACAATATCGGCCAGAGAGGCAAGGGGAGGAAGGAAGAAGTAAGGAGAGGAAGGCTTGACGACATCGGCTAACATCCGAAAGATACCGGCCGCCTGCCGCCTCGCCGGGGTGGATGTGGAAGTGGGCTTGCAGGTAACGTAGGTGGTAGGAGAGAAAAGGGAGGAAGAAAGAGCTGGATGTACTCGAGTACGAGTATGATACAGGATGAAGTATTCTTGCGGTGCTGCGCTGGAGATATGGTACGTAATGGATTGGAATTCCTACTTGTATCATGCTGGCAGATGTAGCGCGATGCGTTTTGCTTTTTGGGCATCCTCCATGCGGAGCATTTGTTTACTTTTTTAGTGGCTTGTCTTTCCCAGTCCGTGTCTAGGTGACCTAGTGGTTCGGTTGATTGATCGATTGGACGACTACCGCTCGCCCATTTCTCACTCGACATCCCAACCGCCAGAGCTGGACACAGCGGCTCGAGGAAACAAACGATTCTCCGAAGGGGGGACAGGGGGAGGGGAAATATCAATCTCGAGGGTTAGAGGGAGCTCTCATTCATTACGGCTATTCGCCAAACTGGAAATCAGAAATTGAAGCGCAAGGGAATGATAGGGAGCTGAAAAATGGATGGGAAATTACCGTACCTTTTTCGCGGTTACTTGTATAACGCAAATTAGAGTGCCGATATATCGCACTGCCTTCTGCTGATGAACACAAAGTCACGCGAGCGCCTTACCCAAATTCTGCCTGTAATCCCCCACGGTCCGCTCTGATCTGGCGATGATTGCCGGTAGATGGCTTCCTGCTCTCTGCCTGTTGCTGGCGTTGCGCGGAAGGAGCGAAAAAAGCCACCATCTCGAGCTACCCCGAGTAAGAAGAAACATTCCGCATGGGAACCGTTAGCCTGGCGTGCCCCGAATCTCTCCCCCCTCTCGCGCCATCTCGGCTCGTCGCCGCCAGGGGCCGGGGCCACCGCCGGCCAAGCGGGAAGGGAAAGGAGGCTGTGAGGTCGTTAGGAAGTGTGGAGCTTGGCGGTCTGACCTGGAAGTCTTGGATAGGATATCCGTGGTGTTGATTCCATGGCGAATATCTAAAACGGGTATCAATTAGTTACCAGAGTACTGTACTCATGGCATGTGGTATCAGACCAAGGTACAGAAGATTTTTTTCCCAGAAATTGCCCTACCGCCTCTCTCACTTCTTTATCATGCTCTCCACTCGTGGCCCGCAGCCAGCTCGCACAAACAAGCAAGTATTGTACTAGTACAAGTAACTTAAAGAAGAAAAAAACAAATCATAGCTGTATTTTGCGCGCTCTATCGAGGAAAAAAGAAAAGGGGAATACAGGGATAAAGATCCCCTCCCAAGGAACCTGCAAGCGCAGTACTTGTACAGCACGATACTGCTTTGTCTCTCCGCGATCGGACTCCCCCAAAAAAAGGAACAACACAATTGACGATTTCCTGCAACAGGTGCATTCGTTCACCTACTCGCTTGCTTGATATAGGCTATTTTTGCCCTGTTAATATGTTTCGCTTGGGTAGGAGATGGAGAAGGAGGGGGAGGGGGAGTCGGTGATGGGTCTAGTACCCGTACCGTACTATAACGAGGCAATGGTCGATGGATGGGTACCGGTAGTGGATGGAACGGCTAACTCTTTGTGACCAAAAAAACTTGACACGGTATGTCTTGAATGGATGAATGAAAGGAGGACTGGGTGGAGCTGCCTCACATCGGTATGATACTGCGGTACTACCGGTATACTGAATTATCTATCTCGCGGGAAGCAAGGGGAGAAACTTCCCTCAGGTGGGCCCCTATAGATACAGTGCTCGGGCACGCTGCCTGTTGTGTTCCAGCTTACCAGCGGTAAGAAGAAATGTCATACCTTCCGTTCTCTTCTCTTCTAGCCCGCGAGTGGGCTGGACTAGTACAGTACTGCGCTACCGTATTCACCCATCCCAATAATAGTGCGTCGGTATTCGTACCATACTCGAGACACTCGCTTCCTTTGTTTCCCAATCCGAGAGGGCCAAAGTCGCACAATAGGACGGGGGGAGGGGGTACTTCTGGCTAGTTACGAGTAGTTATAGATACAGGGAACTGTGTCTAGTTAGTTGTAGTTGGTTAGTACGAGTACCCACTCGACTTATGATAATTAATCAATCCGATTCAACGGGCCCTGCATGCTGGTACTCGAGTACAGTACTAGTGCTCGTACATACGAATACAGTTCCGGTACTGTAGTACAGAACTGTAGGGATCAATTGACTGACACTCTTCCCGGAATAACTGTGCCGAGCCCGTTTTGCCTACCCACCTGTCCTAGTCTGTGCTTTGTATCTGGCATACAGGTAGAGTATCGGAAAGGAGACCAAGGAATCTTCTTTTTTTTCTTCTTCTTTCGATAGTTGGGTGGTTGTGCAATAATGGTCCTATTTCCAGATACCGGTTGCCAGATACAATGTATGTGAGGTGAGTGGAATCTTTCCCGTGGGATATAGTGCACCTAATCAGTTTATTCTTCAATGTCCAGCTGCCGTAGCTGGTGAGACTGTCACCCTTCAGGTTGTTTCCCTCACCCTCCCGTTTATGGTATCATCTAGGCCGCAGGACCCTGTCCTGCGGAGGCCTGGGTAGTGAAGAGTGTGTGGGCAATAAAAAGGGAAAGGACCAAAATGGAAAAGGAAGGATAAAGGTGAACCACTGTAGGGGTTTCAAGCTTCCGGGATTTCGTCTCTGGGCACGCCAGCTGCAATAACTTGTCATGCCTACCTACTTACTTACCTACTAGGGAATGGGTTGGTGAAGGCGTGAGCGAGAGGGCGCAAAATATATATATCCATCCCCCCAAATTTCCTCAAATCGCCATCCTCTTTGTTCGGATCATCACGAGTAGAGTTCCCCCCTCGACGGTACCTCTGCTACTCGATCTTCCACGCTTGGGGCCATTGTGCACCTGTCCTTTCGCTGCTCCTTTATTGCTTTAATTACTCGACTTAGTCCGCCCTTCTCCCCGTTAACTCTTAATTTTTGGTCTAATCAATTGAGCGCTTTTCTTCTAAAAGCAATAATGCGTTATTCCACGACTCTCGGTGTGCTGGGTGGCATCTCTGCCCTCAGCAGCTTCACTGTCGCCCACCCGTTCTTCCCCTCAATCTTGTCCAAGCGGGATTCCCCGGATAATACCTGTGGAAATTTGTTCGCTGGAGCCGGTAATAATTATACCTGCGGCTCTACGAATCTTGGGACGTGCTGCTCGCAATATGGGTTTTGTGGCGCTACCTCCGATTACTGCGGTACCGGGTGCCAGGCAGAGTTTGGGGTGAGTGTTTTTTTGTTTTTTTTGCGTGGATGTTGGTGGAGTTGGTTTCTTTTTTTCTGAAAAGCGACTGCGGGGGGACCCTGGGACGAATTGGCTGCCTAGCCGAATTGAATGAATGAATGACTAACTTTGGGTGTTGCTTTTAGAATTGCACCAGTTCTGGCGGTGGTGGTAACCCGCCAACCGACCCGAATCTATGCGGTCCTACGAACGGGAATAATAGTTGCATAACGGGATCTTGCTGCTCAGCTCATGGTTTCTGCGGGACTACATCTGTAGGATCATACCCTCGCTCTTTGCACTACCCAAGGTCACGCAAAGCTGACAGTCGCTCAACAATAACAGGATTACTGCCTTCCAGCGAACGGCTGCCAACCAGCATACGGAGTAACCTCCCCCTTCCCCCTGCCGAAAAGAAAGCCAAAGTCCTAACATTACCCCCCTCAAGACCTGCAACTCAACCAGCACCCCGGGCGATGGCGGCGGCGACGATAGCTGCGGTCCAGCAAACGGGAACAAAATCTGCTCAAACAGCAGATGCTGTAGTCCAGCAGGCTTCTGTGGGACCGGAAGTGACTACTGCAAGTCCCCGGACTGCCTCAGAGGCTTCGGGGTCTGCGATAGCGACCAGACCCCCTCAGGCGCTTCTACCGCGAATGTATCCCGACCGGAACTCGGTAGCGTGCCATACGGCGAGGACCTCTACGACTGCAACGACCCTGGCCATATTGCGCTGACATACGACGATGGTCCGTATCTGTACACTAGTGCTCTACTAGACATGCTCGCGGCCTACAATTTCAAGGCCACCTTCTTCGTCACGGGGGTCAATAATGGAAAGGGTGCTATCGATTCCACGCCTGCTTGGTCAGCCGTGATACAGAGGATGATCACGGATGGGCACCAGATTGCGTCGCATACTTGGAGTCATGCGGATTTGTCCACGCTCTCTGATGCTGACCGGGAGACGGAGATGGTCAAGAATGAGATGGCTCTTCGGAATATTGTCGGGAAGTTTCCGACTTACATGAGGTAATGGCCCCCACCCCCCCCTCCGATCGACACAGCCGTACTGACTGGTGTGGTCAAGACCACCATTCTCATCCTGCAACGCTGCTTGTAAGGCTACCATGAAGAAGCTTGGCTACCACATTACCTACTTCGACCTTGACACCCAGGATTACTTGCACACTACCCCCCAGACGAACCAGATCTCCAAAGACGTGGTGCATAATTACCTCGTTGGCACGAATAGTGCCACCACGGACTTCTTGGCCATTGCTCATGATATTCACGACCAGACGGTGAATAATCTTACCACTTACATGTTCGACCAGATGGTTCAGTATGGCTATACTGGTGCGTTGTTGTCCCTACCCCGGTGCGTTTGAATAGGAGGGAGAAGCAGGGTGCTAACCATTAGCGAACAGGTGTCACGGCAGGAAAGTGCTTGAATGATCCTGAGGCCAACTGGTATAGAATACCCGGAGCGACGAGTAAGTAAACATCTCAATTTTGTCCGATTACAGCAAGGAGTTACGTAAAGAGTGCGAGGTTTTTGTTTTTTTTGTAAATCCATAATCCTAATTGTAAATGAATATAATATCTCTTGCGATGCGAGTCAATACCGATTCTTATTATTATTATTATTATTTCACAGTATCTTCAACGAGCTCCTCGTCTAGCTCGACGTCCACTACTAGCAGCAGCAGCACCTCAACCACTAGCTCTTCGGCAACAACCACCACTACCTCAACCACCAGCTCTTCAAGCAGCTCCACCACCTCAACCACCAGCTCTTCAAGCAGCTCCACCACCCCAACTTCCACCACCTCAACCTCCACCACCTCAATTTCCACCATCACTACCCCAACCACCACAACCTCAATTCCAACCCCAGCCCCAACCTGCGCTTACCCAATGATAGGCAAGTGGTGCTGCAAGACCTTCACCTTCAAAACCAAGGTGGCGTGCATAACAGCCCGTGTGGAGTGTCTCACCTCCCGCGCCGAATGCATAATCAAGTCAGCCCTGAGCCTGTCAACGGCGAACCAGCAGTGCGGAGGATGGCAAGATAACGTCTGCAAGAAGTTGGACGATTTCTGCGATTCCTGCACCCTCTTGAAGCCGTGTGATAGCGCCAATTTCAAGATCTGAACGTAACGCCCCCCCCCCACCCCCCTTTGAGAAATCGGAGGGAGGGAGAGATGGCGTGATAATTTACCCCTTTTCATGTAACTGTACCTTAATGTTTGCTACTTTTTTTTCTTCTTTTTTCCTTTTCCTTTGTATCATACGGGGGAAAAAAAAAAAGGGAATTCTGTACTGTACGAATAACGCGGGGGTGGATATAAAAAAGCGTCCGAGCGTATGCTCTCTTTTCTCTCTCTTATATACCGGTATCATACCGTACCTCTTCGGGATAGCAAAAACCGGGGGTACCGTATTGTCAATGAAAAAGTTATGATCGCATTCCAAAAGTGAGATCATAATCCGATGAATTGTGGAGTAAAAGACCGCGGTGTGGTGGATACGAGTGAGTACCCATGCCGAATCGGCCCCCACACGAAATTCCCGAGACATCCGAGAACTCTCTCAGGGGAGAGTAATGTACTCGTACAAGTATCGTAATTAATCAATTAGTCAAGAGGGGGACCTCCGAATACCGTTTGGTTACCGGTATTTCCGTACGGTACATCCCGGTTGAGTTTCCGTGATAAGCGATGTACAAGTGCGGTACCCCCCACCTTCCTTCTTTCCTTTCTTCTTTCCTTCCTCGTCCGTGGAGACCGAAATCGACAGGAGGGGTTAGCAACTTATTCGCTTACAATAATGGGGGTTTATATAATTAGCTTCGCGGCAACCACAAGCCGGAACTTTAAAAAAACAAGGGGGAGACGTTCGGGTGGATAGGTGGTAGATGTGGAGAGTCCTCTATGATGACTGTATGATTTGCTTGCTGGAGTCCGAGGGGAATCGGTATCGTTGGTTGCACCACTCGCTTACTGGTGCTGTACGGGTAAGGTACTAAAGTTACGACTTGTACAGTACGCGCAAGCTATTATATAATACAGAGGTGTCCCGGGTATCCTATGCGCTGGATACGATACTTTTAAATTTATGTACCTGCAGTAGGCCTATTTTCCTGAATGGCGGTGAAGGGGGTGGTGGGGGGGGTATGATACTGCTTTTTTATTTTATTTTTATTTTTACCACCGCCGGGGATAGCAATGAGTTACCCTCACACTCCCCAGAACGTTTTTCAAATTGGGTTGTCGACGAGTTGATTCATTGTGAATGCTACTGCGCAAGTCCCTAATAGATTATGATATATAGTAGGCGGCGAGAGGGGGGGGGGAAGGTTTGTTATTATTAATCCTGGGACTTTATTCGCAGTTATCGTCATATGTAACTGCACCACAGGGAAAATCAAAAAAATCAAAAAAATCATGGCAGGAAAGTAGCGGTTAAAGTATGGCCAAATTAGAAAAAGAGAGAGCCCCCGGGGCGGAAAGGAAATGATTGATGGATCAATCGGCCCATTCTTAAGTAACTAATAAGTGGTAGGGAAAAAAAAAAACATTCCGTGGTGAGTGAAGGCAATTTATAGGTCATGAGGTGGGTTGTCGGATGCTGAGTCCGGGACATATCTCACGAGTACTCTACTGGACTGGACTGGACTGTGCTAGTAGACTTGTCGGGGGTAGTAGTATGATGCCATACTGTAAGGTAACTTGTGTAGACACTACGACCCTTGGTTGAAGAAACTGTATCAGTGCGGATATATAATATTATAACGCTGATACATTTATTCGCATTTTTTTGCTGTCCATAATAGTAGGACTCTGCTGAGAGTTCTTTAGACCTGGGACTAGGCAAGATGCTGTAGAATTTATTTTATAGTGCGAATGTGGACTGGATCACCGTGGTTGGTTGGTTGGTAAATTATTATAGTAACGCTCTGGGAGGGAAGAAAGAAAGAAAAAAAAAATCAAAACATGCATTTCCAGCGTATTCTCCGATAGAGGTGGCGACAGCACCGTATTCCTCTATTACACTGGGTGATACGTCTAGTAGGACTACGGTAGTCTTTACGGTGGTGATGGGGGAGCACGGGGTGCGGTAACCTGCCCGGTGGCATAGCGGGGAGTATGGCGTGATATCATGTAACGAAAATTTTTGGAAAAACGATCAGAAATTAGCTACTCCACAGGTGAAGGAGGAGATAGATTTAGACTTGGCTTCATATAATTTTTTCAGTGGTATGATAGCTCTTAATCGCTTGGTATGATACGTTATCTCCAACCAGGCAGCGTATTAAGTTAGCTAATACCCAGCAAATGCAAAACCTGTCGGTAACTTAAACCCATTCGAGGATGTGTTCAACGCTAATAATTACAGATAATTGGTATTCTGCAGGATGTGGGGGGGAAGTCCGACATCGTTTTCACCAGCGCCTTTGGTTAGTCTGATTCTCGGCCCCGAGCAGCGAACTACCGTACCCTAAAACAAAAAACAAGAAAGAAAAAAAAAGACCTTGAACGTCACGAGGGAATTTGCACTCCAAGATCTGTTTTTGAAACAGTGCTGAAGTTGGATTAGTATCTCGGTGGGGGGTGAGGGTCGTTGCTGAAGCCTGGCGGGGCGGGGGGGGTGAAGGGTTGGTCTAGGTGCACAAGTTCTTTATGATATCATATGGTTCCGGCCGTCTATACACAACAGTTCGATTGATGCAACGGGGGACGCTTGGGAATTAGGTATAGGGTTAAAAAGATCACTAACACGGTTCAACTCCTACTTTTAGTAAACTTATTTTGATATTTATTTGACATTTAATTAATAATTTAAGAGTTATAACATCATATTTAAAATGTAACATAATATTAAATAGTATGGATTTATGAAAATAATTTAATTGATAATCACAATTCTTTTTTACTGGTTTTTGAACAGATATCAAGTGATTTTGGAACTGACTGTTACAATTGGCATCTACAGAAACCCAAACTCACATCGTAGTGAATGAAGTGCTGTAATGTCAGTTTCTGTAAATCCATCAACCCTGCGCAGTCGAGCCCGCAGAGAGTGAATCCGTTTAGCTAAACTGGCCTCCACTGTTCCGGCATTATCAGTGTCTGAACTACCAGCCGAAGCACCCCAGCAGGTAAATGTATCTCCAAGAAACAACTCACTAACTACTAGTGTATCTCCTAGCACGATACGATCACGACAATGGCGGGAATGACAACGTCAATCTGCTCTGCTCCAGTCACAAGCAGTAAGCCCAGTACAACAAGTTCAGCCTAGTGTGCCTAGTAGTATTAGTATAAGAATAGAAACTACTAGTGCTGATTTCATACCAGGTACTGAGAGTATAGACTCTCCTCAAGTAGTACCAGGGGTAGATAATGAACCTTATCAAAAGGCTCTGATATACTGGCCTCGACGATTGGGAAAGATGGGAGTTCCTTCTCATGTCAGACTCCGAATCCTGAATGAAGGTATTCAGGATATCAAAAAGATTATTCACCCACTGTCATGGCCACCCGGCGTGCTGGACGTGGAGGAACATTGGACTTTTGGTTGCATACATCAGCTGTGGTTTCTTTGGTTGCGTTGTAGGATTTCCTTTGTGTTATGATTGGGATAGGTTGCCACGCGACGGAACCTGGCGGAACATGACGGAAAGATCGCGGCTGCGCACGACGCCAAGGACTTTCTTTTGTATTAGTGATCATGGAGGATTTCCTATCTATATAAGGGGGTGTGCCCCCTTATACTTTATGTTCTTCACGCAATCTGGTAATCTCCTTTGGACACCTGTACCTAGGAATTACACTCTCTACTTTCTGGCGTCCTTTCGAACCCCTGAACCCTGACCCTGAACCCCTGAACCCCGAACCTCGTACAACTCGCTTCGGTTGTACCCCCGCATCTAGACCTCGTCCCCAGATTCCTGTCTATCCTGATCCGTGGTGTGCCTTGGGCTACCAAACCCTCAGACCTTGTCCGTTACACAAGATTGCGTCTACCAGGACCCAACCCACACCACACCATGGCCACGTCCCACCTCCCTGATGACATCAACGGTCCCCTTCATACCCTCGCGAATCTGGGGGACGACCACGCACAGAGCCTAGACCATGGTCAACTCCAGGCCCAGTTCAACCTAGCCAGAAACCTGGCTCGTCAAATCCTGAATGCACCTGCCCCTCCTCCTCCTCAAGCCACCCCTGTCCCCCCAGAACAGACCCCCCAGTACCAACAATTGCAACAACAATGTAACCTCCTCCTCCAAGAACGAGACGAAGCCCGTAACGAAGGCCAAGGCCTCGAGGCCCGCCTCGTTATCGTCGAAGCCAGCCTTACACAGGCCAATACTACCATCACGTCCTTGAACACCGCCCTTGCCCTCATGCCCGCCCCCGGTGCCGCAGCCCCCGCTGGTGGCAGCAAACAAGTGTCAATCCCCGACCCAGAACATGTTGACGGCACCACCGAGAAACTTCGCCCCTTCCTCACCCAGTTGCGGATGAAACTCCAGGGTGACAGCCACTGGTTCACCAGCGAGCAACACCGCCTCGGTTACGCCATCGGTCTCCTCCGTGGACGTGCCTTCGTCCAGATCCAACACCTGGTCTTGCCCGATCGTATCAACCTCGAGAACATGAACGCCCTCTACTCCGAGCTGGAGCAAGCCTTTGGCGACCCCAACAGGGTCCAGACAGCCGAACGTGCTCTGAGGAGCCTCCAGCAAAAGAACCGTCCCTTCGTGGAATACCTTGCCGACTTCCAATGCCTCGCTGTCGACACACTCTGGAACGACGCCGCCAAACGTACTTCTCTTTACCAAGGCCTCAGCACAGAGTTGAAAGACGCTCTGGTACACGTCTTCCCCGTCCCTGAGTCCTTCAATGATTACCTCTCCCTCCTCAAGCAGCTAGACAACAATGTCCGTGCCCGCGCTGCTGAAAAGAAAGGCTCCTCTTCGTCCTCCTGGAGAA